AGACATTATTGGATCCCATGAAAAAAAGCACAATGTCTACGCTCTCTGTATGCTCTTCGTATCATGAGGATGCTTAATGCCATCTCCATCATCCACATGCTCTCTGATCATCATTTTTATAATCATAGAATCCTGCCTTACAGAAAAAAAGCAAATGGAAATTCTATGTTCTTTTTTAAAATTTTATTTTTATGAAGGTATAAAGTATTTAATAATAGAGTTGTTTCAGGCATACAATGTTCCACCACTAATGTCCCCTACCTCCATCAATACCCCTATGTTCCCTCTCTTGGCAAGCATATAACAAATTTATTTCATATTACTGACTCCAACAAAATTTAAAGAAATGGCAAGTAGAATTATCAGGAAATAAATCAATAAAAGTGCATTTGTGATGACTGATTGCTATGTAATTTCAACCTACATAAGTGAAGAAATTCAAATCATTGATATAATATACTGCCTCGTCTCATTTACATCCTACGTTTTCAACTCAGGCTTCTAAAATGTATTGCATTTTGGGGCTGGAGCAATAGCACAGCGGGTAGGACGTTTGCCTTGCATGCGGTCAACCCGGGTTTGATTCCCAGCATCCCATATGACCTCCTGAGCACAGCCAGGGGTAATTCCTGAGTGCAGAGCCAGGAGTAACCCATGCATTGCCGGGTGTGACCCAAAAAGCCAAAAAATATTAAATAAATAAATAAATAAAATGTATTGCATTAAATTGAACTTTGTATTTGGATCTGGTTGTGATCATTGTCATAACTCCCCTGTCATAAACAAAACTTTTCTTGAAATTCTGTGCTAGGAAATACTATGTTCTTATTGTCAACCCAGTGCCCAACCTAACAAGTTCCACCCTTCTTGCTCTTCCATGTCATGCCAAAAACTTAAGGCAGCTCTGCTATTACCACCCTGGTTTGCAATGGGAAAAACAGAAGCGTAGGTTGCAGCTTCTCATGAGCAACGGCAACTGCCCTGGCCTCCTCACAAGCAAAATCTCACTCTCGCCTTGATTCCGCACTGGGCCAGGAGGCACAGACCAGCCAGCAATTCACTGCACCAAGATTCACCTACACATCAGCTGTGTCATTTTTGCTAAAGGGCGTAAAATCTCTAACGAGTGTCTTCAGAGTGCTGGCAGGTGTCATGTAGGTGGTTTTGTTCTCAGCAGCAAAGCCAATGTATTTTTCTGATGATCATGACTTTATATTCATTTTTATGGCTGGGCGAAGAGTAGAGGAGGTCCTGAAAATGATTCAGTCAACGAGACAGGGATCACAGAGGGTGAAGTGGGCAAGAGGTAACAACTAATGGCCTGCGGCCAGTTACAGAAGAGGCGAGAGAACAGCTGCTGGGCATAGCTCTGGAGGCATGCGCTGCAGAGCAGGTCACACCCAGAGTGAAAGTTTAGGGAAAGTCGGTTAGAGCCAGATCAGGGTTTGGATTCTGCCTCCTCCCCAAGCCCAAGCTCTCTGCTTCAGGTTCATTTTCCACAAAATAGAAAGGAACACACACACACACACACACACACACACACACACACACACACACACACACCAGAGGAGTAGCCTGAGCAATAAGTAAGACTACCCAAAAAAAATTTTTAGCGCAGTGTTTTTGGTACAGAAAAGATAATAAACATAAGCTTCCTTCTCATCCCCCTCCCTTGATGTTTCCAAAAGATTTTCTGACTTAAATGGGAATTCTTGAAGTCTTTAAGGGAAAAAAAAAAAACGAAGTTCCTACACATTATATAGTCAACAGCACATAGGTATCTGTTGCAGCACCATAATTTGCAAAGAAAAAGGAAGTAGTAATTTAAACAGAAAAGTACAAGCTCACTTGCACTGCCTTGTAAAACCTCCAGTTTCGCAGTCTGCAGAGACTGCTAGTGCGCTAGGGGAGCAGAATCTCAAATAAAGAAAAAATTCTCATGGGAAAAATGGTTCCCCCAAAAAGAAAGCCAAGAAAGAAAAGATAATGAGGGGAAATCGAGGGGTATAGAAAGGAGTTTATTTTACTTAACAAAGTAAAAGTCAAGCAACATGAATAATCTGCCTCCAGAAATGGTTATTTAAAGGTTTTTTGTAAAGGGCTCTGGTTCCTAAAAAGACAGGAGTCACTGCCTATGCCCACCCACTCCTCACTTATTTTTAAACCCCAGCTTATATGTTTCTTAGCAACAGTAGGAGCAGATGAGACCCCCTACACACACACACGCACACATACACTCTCTCCAAAAGCCCCCTTCTTCTTTCCTATCAAGTGTCATTCCACAAATATCCATGTTCACCCAAAGGTATTTCTGACCTTCCTGCAGATCTCCTCTTTCCCCTCAAGGGATCCCCTTATGCAAGCAACTCTCCTTCATGCCCCAAGCCAACCCTCCACTTCCATGGCATGGATGAGATCTCCCGGGACCCTCTGCAAATAATCCCACCAAGAGTCATCCTCAGGTAATCCCCCAAAGGTGACCTTTACTGAGGAGCCATGGCCTGACTCCGGCCAAAGCAGGCCCCTCCTTCCACACATTCATTGTCCACCTGTGAAGTGGCCAAAACCATCCACCCAAGTTCAAGGTACATAACCATTCAGCATGGCAACTCCTGATGACGATGAATAAGGTGAAGACACCCCCATCTCACAGAGGCAGCTGGAACCACCTTCTTTTTGCTGTTTTTCCTTGACTTTGGGACTACCTGGCCATGTGTAAATGGGCAACGCTTATGAGGTCCAAGATCAATGGTGTAGTCTCAGAGGGAGAAACGAAAAGGGCAACAACCCTCAGCTCTGAGCGTGCCGAGGCACTGCCTGAGAAGCCTGGGAGAAACTCCCGCCCACAGAGTTTGATTTTGTCACTCTGGAATGAGTGGCAGACATTTTTAACCAGCCACCTGAGGTGACGCGGATGCAGGTGGTTCACAGCATTGGACACTGCAAAGCTTTACTGAAGAGGCAATGATGTGACGAAGCAGGACCCACCCCTGTGGAGTGGAAAGCAGACGCAGTATATTCCTCTCTAGAAAAAGTGTCAGGTTTGGGGCTGTGTGTGAGCTCACAGATCCAGGCGATCGTGGTGAGCACGCAACAATTGTAAGCATATAACCCAGAAAACTAGGGTCCCACCCAGGGCTCCTTTAGTACACAGGGCCTCACCCCTGTACTCTCTCCTTTAAAGGAGAGAGGCTCAAAGCAAGAGACCAGTCGACATGATTTCCCTTGCAAACTCTCGCTCAGGAGCTCCTCTCGGAGGAGCCCAGTGAATACCAATGACACCAAAGAGTCTGGCAATGAGCATCTTAAATTCAACCCCCCACCTCCTGCTCACAGAGCCTAAGTCGGGCTGAATTTAAGTCCCTGTTCCCTCGGGCCAGACAGGGCAGCAGAACTAGGAAGTGGGACAATCTGTGTCCTTGCATACCTTCCCAGAGCTTGCCCGCTCTCCAGCATCTCCCTATTTTTAGAAACCAAAACTATAAGGAGAAGAGTTGAGGACTAATCTATGTACGTAAAAGAGCAAGTCAGTGGAAACATCCCTCAATGCAGGGAGAATGAAACACCCATCGGGGCGGTGGGAGCGACCACCTGACCAGGAAGAACCGTCTGGCAGTCGTGAGAGACCCGCCATCAGATGAGGACAGTTTGCCCTAGGCACTGGGACCTTCTGTCCAGGCAGTTCTCCACCGGGACCCCACCCAAGCAGGCGCAGGCTCCCATAAACACAACACCTCCCCTCACAAACCCACACACCCCTGTCATATGCTTTTGCTTACATAACAGCACATGGGGTGACAGGCTTCATATTTTAGATGGCCTTCTGGAGAGACTAATTCAAACGGAGTCAGGTCACAAGAACCCTCACTGCCACCTTATCAAGAAATTCCCCAGCCTCAGTCCATCTCTGTAGTTCTAGGCTGATGGACTACTGAGACTTTTAAAACCAACAAGCAGTAAGGAAAGACAAAGTCTGGACCCTCTCCGATCACTATTCTCGCCTGGGAATTGGGTGGCTGGGGTGGGGAATGAGAGGAAGGGGGAGGTGTGGGGCACCCAGAGCACCTCCTGAATCCCTTCTTTTTCTCATTGGATCTGGATACAAGGTGGGCAATCCTTTCATCCTAATTTGGTAGTTCTCTCTCTCCCGGCATTCACCTCTGACAAACACCCTCTTCCCGAGGATGGAGTGTGGTTCGAACTGCTGCCCAAACCCCTGGCTGCAGGCAGGCGACCCTCGGTCTCCTTTCTGAGCACAAGCAGGAGAAAGGGTGCAAGCACATGCATGAGAACCCTTCTCACAAACTCCGGCTGCGGAGCGTGCAGGCAGCTGCGTATCTATAGCCATGGGCCCATGGGACGCCTCATAGGGGACTCCCCTGCAGGTCCAGCTCGCCTCCGAATTTCTCAGCACAGCGTTTTTCCTTGCTGCCAGCCCGGGGGGGGGGGGGGGGGCCTCAACTAGCAAGTGCAAGTGATGCTGAAGGCTTATCTGGGGGAGCGGATGGCGTGCAGGGAGGGAGGTGGGTATCTGTTAGGCAGTGGTGGCTGGAGAGGACACACGCTCTGGAACAACTTTGAGGACTTCTCTCTCTCTCAAAAAAAAAAAAAAGAGAGAAGAGAAGGAAAAAAGGGTGGCATCTCTGAGTAGGAGCTTCACGCACACGCATGCATTTTTGTTGCTGTTCTGACCTCAGGAGTCGGTCTTCCGTCCTGGTACCGGGGCACCGGACGCACGCAAAGCTACCCTTTGGCAGAGACTGTGTCGCCGGGAAGAGAAGGGAGCAGGAGACGAGGAAGAGGAGAGAAAAAGAGGAAGAGGGAGAGAGGGGGGGAAAAGGAGGAGGAGGAGGAGGAGAGAGAGAGAGAGAGAGAGAGAGAGAGAGAGAGAGAGAGAGAGAGAGAGAGAGAGAGAAGGGAGGGGTGTGCCCAACTCCATGCAAGCAAAGTGGGGCTCCGCGGCGGGCGGCACCTGTCCCCGGGCTACTGCCCGCGCCTACCTGTAAGAGACCTGCTTCCGGAAAGTTAAGTTCCGCAGCTTCTCCTCCAGCGCCTCGTCCTTCTCCTTGGGGCCCGCGGCCCCGGGCTCCTCCAGGGCAGCTGCGCCCCCCGCCGCCGCCGCCGCCGCCGCCGCTGCCCCCGCGCCCCGCGGCTCCGCGCCGCCCTCGGCGCCCAGGCAGCAGCTCCCACCGCCGCCGCCGCCGCCCGTCGCCCCCTTCTCGTCGCCCGCCGGGGAGCTGGGGTTCATGGCGAGCGCTCGGGCGGCCGCGAGCGGAGCCGAGGCGGCGGCGCTGCAGAGGCCGGCGGGGCGGAGGGCGCGGGCGGCGGCCGCCGCGGCGGGAGCGCGAGCAGGTCCGCGCGCCGCTGGCAGGGGCGGCAAATGGCAGCCCCTTCCCGCAGCATCCATCCGCCGCGGCACCGCACCGGGGCATTGTGGGAAACTCCGTGCCTCCACTCCCCCGGCCCGACCAATCAGAGCGCGGCGCCCGCGCGCCCCCGCCCGCGCCCCCGCCCCCCGCCCCCGGCCTTTTCCCAAATCGCCAGCACTAGCCCGGGGCAGAAGCTGGACTCGGCCCGGGGCGGCTGGAGGCAGCGGGCGGCGGCGGGAAAGTCCGACCCCGGGGGAAGCCGACTGGGGGGCGCCCGGAGCGAGCCCGGACGGCTGCGGGGGAGCGCGCCCGAGGCAAACTCGTCTAGCGGGGTGGAAGCCCGGGGCGGCGGACAGGACCCCGGGAGCGGCCGGGGACCCCCTTGCCGGGGCAGCCGTCACAGGCTGGAACTGCACGCCCACCTGCTCCCGGGGGGCCCCTCGGTCGGCTTGCCTCCACTTGTGTGCCCCCCGGACTCTTGCAGAGCTGGAGCCCCGCCGCAGCCGCCCTCCGCGGGACTCCTCCGGGCACCAGGGGGAGAACGCCGGAGTGCCAACCTGGCCGTGCGCAGTGCAAATTAAGGGCCGAGTTGGAAGGTCGAAGCGTGCAAGGCAGGGGTGGCGTCTACCTCCACGCGGAGGGCGGAGACCCCAGGATCCAGAACCCCCACCCGCGCCCTCCCCGGGCTCTTCCTTACACAGCCCGGGGTTCTCCAAACAGCTGTCAGATCTGAGAAGGCTGAGAAATCTCTGAGACAGGGAAGTCGCCGCGGGCTCTCCCCAATCCCCGACTCCCATCCCCGGGCCAGCCTTTGTTTCTTGAGATCATCAAAAAAGAGCTCCGGGGGTTCAACGATTTTGAGGCAAGGAGAGCTTTTCCAAATGAAAGGTTTCCATCGAGAAACCGCTGCCATCAACAAACAGAAGAGAGCTCTGAAGTGCAGTAAGCAATTATATATGTACCCATGTAGATGGTGCAAGAGAACCTGACCAGCTAAGAATTTCAGGTGCATGTGTTGCTACCCGCATGGCAAAGCCTGGCATATGACGTATTCCATATGCCAAACACAGTAACAACAAAGTCTCACAATGGAGACATTACTGGGCAAAATGAACAACGGGGAGGACAGGGACAGTGACAGTGACAGTGACAGTGTTGCTACCCCATAAGACAACGGACTTGACTTCTTCCCCTTTGTTTTCTCGTGAACAGAATGAAGACTGAAAAACATACCAAAAAAAACTCTCCCAAACCCCACATTTTGTAAGTCCCCTCTTATGGACATTGTAACTAAGGCAAAGGCCAGAGACTTTCAGGGAGTAATGAGAAAACGTAATAATAGAACAAATAGGGGGTCCTCCTCTTTACAGGGAAAGTCTGGTACTAAGAATATCTCACCTGTCTTTAGATTTTCACAGCACTCTGCAAGTGAAATTTCCCCAGTGCTCAGGCTCAGGCAATTAGGAATGGGCAGAAGCAAGAATCACACCCAGGCTGTGTAGTTTTGTGTCTTTGCTCTTTACATCTGTGCTGTGTGCCCCATCTTCAGAGAGGGCTGAACATACAAAGAGCTTTAGCAGTAAAGTTCTGTGAGATCCAAGTATGCCTGGTGATATCTGGTGTGTAGGAATTACGGAACAGTTTCCTAATTGCTCTATGTAGTTTCCCATCCACTTCACTAGCATGACCTCCAAGATACTTCTGATATGTTAGCCATTATCTAAAGCTCTTCCAAGGAAGTTATTTTGATCCTGTTCCAATACGTCTTAACTGATTTTCAAGGGCACATTAGTGGATAATTTGTCAACCTTGACCCCTTCTCCTTCATATACTGTTCAGGTGGTTCCACATTGAACTTTTCTATTCACAAGTCCCAAATGCTCTTTGCTCTCTGTTTTCCATCTATGCATAGATGGGCCAGCTCCCTCCTTTTCCATACTTTTCCCATCTCTCTCTCCCTTACTTTCTCTCTCTCTCTCTCTCTCTCTCTCTCTCTCACACACACACACACACACACACACACACTATTTGCCTGATCTTTCTGACTTGAGATGAGTGCCCCACTGAACCATTATAATAATCTGTGACTCTTAGTCACTTGTCTATCTTGGCTCTCCACAGGTATAAAGAGTTTATCGTTTACACCGTGTCCCCAATAAGATGCATAAAAATGCATATATCGGAAGCTTCCATTAAGCATTTATTTACCCAAAAAAGAAATACAAATGGTTTCGAACATATAATCATACTGTCAAATTTATTCATTAGGAAAGAAAATAAATTTTAAACTATAATAGGATGCCACTTTTCAGAATAAACAGTTTTAATGACAGATGGTCTTGGTGAGGGGGTAGAAAAACCCACATTTTCTCAAATTGTTGGTATAGTTTCATTGACACAGTCTCTGGTGGTGAATGTGGTAATAGCTATCAATAGTATTAAGAGGCCTGAGAGATAGCATAGCAGTTAGGGCACAGGGTAAAACCGGGCCCAATCTTCAGCATCCGATATAGCCCCTCCAGAAGTTATCTGTCAGTGCAGAGCTAGGAGTTAGCTCTGATCATAGATGCGGTCCAAAAGTCCCGCCCCAAAATAATATCAATAAATATCTGAAATGCACAGGCTTATTAACCTAGTAATTTCACTCTCAAAAGTTTTCCTCTCACACTTGTAGTTGTATATAAGGTTTTAAGACTGGAACTAATCTAAATGCCTACTAATATAGAATTAAACTATCTATGATATCTAATTGTCTAGTATGCCTATTATAGTATGCTTAGTATACCTATTGATATAGACTACTTGGTTATATTTATTCCAACCATGAAATTTCTGCAGCCATGTATAAAATGTAGTAATATAAGATGTTAATAAAATTAACTAGAAAAGAAAAGTAGGTTTCAGATTATAGAGCATATTATGATTTCCATTAAAAGAGCTATAGCTCTAATATTTGAGGGATGAAGCAGAAGAATTGGTGACACAGATCAAGTTGAGCAGTCCTAACCAGAATCTCATGTTTTGCCTTATTAAATCAATAAATACTTACAGGAGACAGGATATGTCCCGTGTTCAAAGGAAAATCAGCTGGACCTACCTGGTTTGTATTTGCATGTTAAGAAAATGTGACAAGAGAAGGTGGACAACTAAACAAAGGAGAATAAGCAGAAATGGTCATTGAATATGCACCCAAGTTTAGAGGTGGGGTTTTCAGGGAAACATTATACCTGAGAAATACAAATAATTTCTGCACATGAAAAATAAATCTTTGTTATGGGTGGCCTTCAGAGAAGTTATTTAAAATACCACCTAACATCTTAGACCATTTATTTTTCTTTTTGTTTTCAATGGTCACTAAGCAACCTTATAACTATTCATTCAACTTCTTAGTTACCTAGACACTAAAAAGTAGAATCCTTGGAAATGGGTCAAAAACATTCCAATCGCAAGAAAGAAAGTTGACCTGGAGGTATGAAAATGCATCTTGTATAATTTTGAAAAGTATTAGTACATTCGCGGCCGCGCGACATCTTATTATCTCATTCCTACTTTGGACAAACTTGCAGGCTATCGAATGTAGCCTGCCCACAGGGCAGAGTCTGGCAAACTCCCCATGGCGTACCAAATATGCCAAATACCAGTAACAATGATGGGTCTCATTCTCCTAAAGAGCCGTGAATATAATCTCAGGGCTAGGATGAAAGAGACGTTACTGGGGCCTGCTCGAGGCAATCGACGATTAACAGGATGATGAAATGATGAAATGATGAAATTAGTACATTAATATGTACTGAAGAAAATGAACTTCTGTGGGGATACTATGACATATTGCTTTGGAGCCTCTAGCTGACTTCACAGAAACTGTGCATCTATACTAAACCCCATAGTATAACCTCTTCAGTGAACTTCTTATCTCCTCTTCCTCTCCCTAATTACTGTGTGTTGTAAAACAGGGATCATCCCCTGAATTCTAGGCCTACTTTTTTTAAAAGCCTAATTTTTTTTGCCATACCCGCTAGTGCTCAGGGCTTGCTCCTGGCTCTGTCTCCAGGAATCTCTCCTGGCAGTGCTCAGGATTCCATAGGCAATGCCAGAGATTGAACCATGGTTGGTCACATTCAAAACAAACATCTTAACCCTTATAATAGCTCTTCTGCCCCGAAAGCATAAATTTTTAAAGAAAAAACAATTTTGAGAGTTTTTATAAAACCACAAGACAAGAAATGAAGAGAACATCATAGCTAGCATTTTTATAAATATACGAATTTCCAGAAAATAGCACCAAACCAAATAATGTGTTTTAAAAAGCAAATAGCCATCAAGGCAGGCTAGGGAGTGGGAGAGGGCTGGGAGGGAATCTGGGAGATTGGTGTTGGGAAATGTACCCTGCTGCAGGGACCAGTGTTGGAACACTGTATGACTGAAACCCAATCACGAACAGCTTCATAACCATGTATGTTATGGTGATTCAATTCAAAAATAAATAAATAAATAAATGAAAAAAGTAAATAGCACATATGAATTTACAGTGTATTAAGCACATATAAATATGCAGTGTATTGAGATCTCAGGTATTTATAAACCAGCATACAAATAATAGAGTTTTTGAAAACATCACTATCAAGGAGAGAAGAAAAGGAGTTTCGAGAATTGAACTGATGTGTATGGTTACTTACTCCTACGTCCAAATACTTTTTTTTTTGCAGAGTTAAGAAACAAACCCAGAGTCTCTCACATGAGAAACAGAAGACAAAGGCCCTACCACTGAGCTATATTCTCTACCCTGCTTCCAAATCTTTACACTTGCTACTTTGGCTGCCTGGAATGTTCTGTCTTAGAGACTCTCAAGATTTCTCAGTTCACAGAACCTTGACTGTCTCCATAATTAATTTTTTCCCTGGCACCTCTAAGCCAAAAAAGATCTTCATATTTATGTTCATTAGGTAGTTAGGTGCTAACAGTTTAAGAAGGATTATTTCTTAACAACTTCAGAAGCTGTTTTTAAATATAAT